GATTTCTATGTGTTCCATCTGGCGAGGTCCATGTGTAAACAATCTCATAGTTGTTGTTTTTTTAATCAGCAGTCACATAACATCTGGTCAACTCTCCTTTTGTTTGGTGGTTTCTGTAATATTCAGTGGCCAAATCTGTCAGCTCACTAGGGACTGAAAAGTGTTCATTTCTCTTCGGCTACAATTTGGTTACCCAATGGGCAGGACAAGTGTTTAATTATTTCCCTTTATTTACCAACTTCCATGCTAGTGAGTTGATTCTGTCACATTCGTCACCAGTGACCAACAGCATGTATTCAAAAGCTTGCTGGTAGGCAGGAGCTTATCTAGTGACTAGAGGCCTGGGAATTTTAGTCAATTTCAACAGTTTCCCCAACTCAGCTGACCACCCACCCACTGCCATCAAGTTGATTCTGACTCTTAGCGAGTCTGTGTGGGGTCTCTGAGACTGTAGGTCTTTATAGGGGCAGACAGCCTCGTCTTTCTCCCTCAGAGCTGCTGGTGGATTTGAACCTCTGACCTTGCCCCCAGGGCTTTTCCTTGAGGAGCAGTCAGCAGCACAGCTGAGGGTCTTCCCATTCCCCTTGCCCACTCCTCTCCTCAGCCAGTCCCCACTCACATGACCCTCTCCACTACATAATCTCTTCCCCAGTGCCCACAAGCTTTTGTTCTCAGCCATCTGCTCCAGAGAGAACAGGGCAATCCATCCCATCATGAGACATGATCATAGTTCTGTCCTCACTGAGTTCTACTTATACTGTCTGGTTAGAGCTTTTAAATGGATGTCCAATTAAAAGTTTATTTTTGTGACATTATTCAGATTTGACCTGGAGTTTATAAATCTCAAAGCACCCTGGTGATGTAATGGTTAAGCTTAAGAACCTAGCGTAACAAGAAGGTTGGCGGTTCAAACCTACCAGTCACTCCATGGGAGTAAGATGAGTGGTCTTCTTCCATAAAGATGACAGCCTTGGGAACCCTTTGGGGGCACTTCTTCTATGGGATTGCTGTGAACCAGAATCAACTCGACAGTCATGGACTTGAGTTTTATCAATTTCTCATCTTTTAAACATATGATTGCAGTTCTATTACAATTTTGAAGGAACTGCTCTTATTTATACTATTATTGTTGTTAAGTGCCATTCAGTTGGTCCAGACTCATAGCAACCCTGTGTAGGGTTTCCGAGGAGTAGCCAGTGGGTTTGAATCACTGACCTGTGGTTAGCAGTCCAGTGCTGATCCTACAGAGCCACACCATGAGTTCATACTGTGCACTGAATGTTTTGTGTCTATTGCGTTACTTTCTCGAAGGGTTTAAGATAGAGTACTTTCGTCTAGTAGACATGGGGCTAAGGTACCTGCTCTGATACCTCTTAAGAAGGAGCCCATTAGCTAAATCTAAAGAACATACAAGAAATACTGACTTTAGATATAATTGTATTTCCCAAAATGTCTTTCCAGATGAGACAAACAGATCACAATGTGGTGACGGCTCTAACGCACAGACCTTGGAGCCTTAGCTACACGGGAGATGGGAAACCACGCTTTGAGTCTGTCTGGAAGCATTCCATATTTGTGATATTGGACATTTTGCTGGACTGGAGCATGCATAATATCTTGTGGTACCTGTGTGGAATTTCAGCTTTCCTCATGCAAAAGGACTTTGTATCCCCGTAAGTTCAAAGATTGTTTTTATCTTCTTCTGATGCACTTTTTTTTCTTCTTCTTCTTCTTTCTGTGTCTTCACTGGTCTCCGTGATTTCTTCTGCCAACCTCTCTTTCCTTGTATATTGCCCAGGTTAACACGTGTCTACCTTCTAGCCAGTGAAGTACTCGCTTCTCTTCCACCCCTGATAGCCATCAAAGGATGTTCCTTTTCTTGAGCAGTTAACAATCGTGCTGACAACTTCTTGACTGCTCTCCACGGGCAGGAAGGATAAAAGATTAAATATCTTGTACGAGGAGGCTTCAAAAAAGTGCATGAGAAAATTCCATTATCCTTTCGTGCCATTTTCCACAATCTTTTTGACGCCACCTCAGATTGGTTCCAATTACAAGGCCCATTGTATCTTTATGATACTGAAATGCCACTAGATGCTTGGGGGAGGAGGGAAGGTCAGGCATGTTTCCCTGTTCCAAACAGGCTGATGAGATAATCTGTCACACTGATGAAAGGGAGTCCATTTCTTGGGATGGACTCCCTTAGAAAACCAGCCCCGGGCCCCGGGCAGCGCTTCAGTGCGAGGACCTTTTCCTTTCCAGTATCCCTCCTGCTTCCAAGAAACGTTCCCTTCCCTTACCTGCAAATAGTCTCCGCATCTTTCCTTTTACATTGTTAGTTAGGGCCATGTTTTTCGGCTGATGACATGCTTCATGGTCCATAATAGTGGTAAGTTTCATATTATTTCAGTCCTGCATGCATTCATTCAATAAATATCTGCAGAGGACCACTGAGAGACTATTTCTTGACATTGTGTCCTTAATACCATGCTTAGCGAGTGTTACTGATTCCTGAAGCAGCTGGTCATTATTCTAACAGGGTTGATTTCTTCCTCTTTCTCCAGGGCCTACTTGAATAAATGGTCAGCGAAGGGAATTCAGGTTGTTGGTTGGACTGTCAACACGTTTGACGAGAAAAGTTACTATGAATCCCATCTTGCTTCCAGCTATATCACTGACAGCCTGGTTGAAGATTGCGCCCCTCAGTTCTAGACTGTTGCCCCGTGGAGGCCACGTGGTTCAGAAACTGTCTACAGCCTCATGCAGGCATATTCAAACACCTTGGAGCTAGCCCAGGCTCTGGGGGAGCCAGGGGACTCACCCCAAGCAATAGTCGGTAATTGTTTTGTTTTTTAACTGAACAAGGCAAAACCCAGTGTTGACACCACATTCCACGGAATCCCTGAGGTCAGCACTGTTGCTCTTGGAACATCTGGGTCAGAGGAACGATATAACAGCGCCTGCCTCCTAACTGAGGCGCACAGCAAGACCCAACGATAATCAGCACAGAGTGAGCTGTTCAGTTTGGGGGTACAGGTGCAAATGCATGGGCAATGCACGATCGCTCAGAGTTGGCATTTTAAAACTTGGCACACTCACAAAATGTACTGATGTCAAGTCATCTGTTTTCAGCTACGTTAACAATGTACTGTAAGCATCAAACGTGTGGCCATACTAATAAAACCGGTCAAAGGAGCCCTAAGGGAAAATGGAGTTCAAAGCATCACTCCCTAAGGTGTAAGGAATTTGGGGAAGCTGCTACTTACTTGTCATCCAGTGAATGTCATCCAGTGAATAAGCAGGCAGCAACCCAAGGGAAGGTTTCATTGTAGTTAAGTGTCAGTGAGTCAGTGCCAACTCCTAGTGACCCTGTATAGGGCTTCCAAGAATGGCTGGTGGGTTTGAACTACCCGCTTTGTTATTAGTAGTCCAATGCTTATCCTACAGCACACACTAGGATTCCAGTGTTGTTGTTGTTAGGTGCCATTGAGTCGGTACCGACTCATAGCAACCGTATGCACAGCAGAACGAAACACTGCCCGATCCTGGGCAACCTCACAATTGTTACCACACTTGAGCCCATTGATGCTGCCACTTAGCCAGTCCATCTCACTGGGGGTTTTCCTCTTTTTCTCTGACCCCGCCACCTTACCAAACATGATATCCTTCTCACTAGGGGTCTCTTTTTCTCTGACCCTCCACCTTACCAAACATGATATCCTTCTTCAGGGACTGGTCCCTCCTGATTCCAGTATTGTTGTTAAGTGTGGTCAAGTGCGTTACGACCTGTAGCTACTCTGCACAGGGTTTCCGAGGCTGTAAATCTTAACGGGAGCAGAAAGCCTCATCTTTCTCCCACGGAGCAGCTGGTAGTTTCGAACTGCTGATCTTAAGGTTCACGGCCCGATTCATAACCACTACGTTACCCGGGCTCCAGTGTAGAGCAACCAAAATGGTAGGGGAATCTGAAAACCAATCCGAGGAATTGCTTTAGGGCATCTGAAAATAACAACTACTAGCCACCAGGTGGCATAGCTGTACTTTGTCTGGCTTACTAGGAAGGTCTACCACAAGGGATTGCTGTGAAAGGTCTTCACAGAGTTTCCTATGTGTAGCTGGTGGGTTTGAACCACTGACCCTGTGGTTAGCAGTTCAGCGCTGATTCTGCAGTGCCATACCAGGACTCCTCAGATGACTGTAGGAAATCAGAACTAGAGGAGAAAACATTTTACAAATTAGGAAACCAAGACCTGTGACAGTGAATGGTCTTACTCACCGCTCCTTGGAAACCCTATACAGGGTCTGTGAGTCTAAACCCACTCGATAGCATTTCACAATTTATTACATACAACTTGTGAAAGCCACAACCTGTGTTAGGTGGAAACGGAGAAAAGCAAAAACAAAAATGCTTTCCACTAAAAGTAGTGATAGGAAAGTGGCAAGGAACTACCCCGTGAACAGAGGAAAACTTGCAGGATCCTGAAAAGCAAGGCAGTCCTGTGGAATCCAGCTCACAGGGATTTCACTGTACCTTTCAGGGACTCTAGGTGGCGCTGTAGGATAAGCACGCCACCTCAAGGTCCGCTTGAACCACAAGGTGAGCAGTTCAGACTCACCAGCTGCTAGTGGGAAACCGTTTACAGGGTCACTGTGGATCATAGCTGAGGACGACAATTAACAACAACTATGTCAAGTGTTTAACGTCTTATTTAACCTTCACAAGGAGTCCTGGTGGCACTATAGGATTGCACTGGACTGCTAACCACAAGATGAGTGGTTCAACTCACCAGCTGCTCCTTGGAAACCTTGCACAGATCGCTATCTGTCATAACCGATTCAACACTTAGTAACAAGACCACCCTGACAAAAAGATGAGGATTTTCTAGGGACTTTGAACAGGTTCATTCCAGCTTACTCCCCAGCCAAGAATTTACATCAAAATGTATATTTTAACCAGATACCCGATTCTTAAGCATACAGAATCTTGTTAAAATGTAGTTTGTGATTCAGTGTATATGAGGTGGTGGTGGTGATGGTAGGTGCCTTTGAGTCGGTTCTGACCCCCAGCAACTGTCTGTACAACAGAACAAATCAATGCCCAATCCTGTGCCATCTTCACAATTGTGGCTACACTTGAGCCCATCACTGTTGCCACGGTGCCACTCCATCTCACTGGGGGTCTTCCTCTAATTTGCTGTCCCTCCACTTGACCAAGCATTATGTCCTTCTCTAGAGACTGGTCCTTCCTGATAATATGTGCGCAGTATGAGAGGTGAAGTCTGTCCAACTTGACTTCTAAGGAGCATTCTACTTGTACGTCTTCCAACACTGATTTGTATGTTCTCCTGACAGTCCGTGGTACCTTTAATATTCGTCTCCAACACCATAACCCAAATGCATTGATTCTTTTATGGTCTTTATTCATTGTCCAACTTTCACATGCATATGAAGCTATGAAAAATAGCTTGGTTAGGCACAACATATTCCTCAAACTAACACCTTTGCTCTTAAACACTTTAAGGAGATCTTGTGCAGAAGAGGAAATGCAAATTGTCTGCCAGGAGTCAAACCTGAATGAACCTGCTTAAGGCCCCAGGTTCATCCTTTTTACTGATGAGGAAACTGAAGCACCTGAGAGTTAGTCAGTTCCCACCCCCCCAAGGCCTCAGAGCCCCTGGGAGAATGGAGATTCAAAGTCAGATCTGTCTGACCCCAGAGCTGCCCCGTGACAACTCCCAGGTTTACATTTATAACGTAGAAGCCTGAACTCCCCAGTCAGCACTCTCTCCCAGTCAACTTCAGTATGGTGTAGGGGAAAAAAGGCCCCAAACTCGACTATATTTCACAGAGCCTCCTCTCTAAGTTTTAAACAGGACAAAGACATCATTGGATGCCAGCACACAGCCATAATGGCATCCAGAGGATTCCAAACCACGTAGCTAGTTTCAGAACATGGAAAATGAGGAAATTTCCCCAAAATCATTATTGGCAGCAGATGGATTCATCAACATCATAGGCGGGACTACTACGAGAAGGGCATGGGGGAGGGGCCGTGATGGGGATCTAAGCACTACTGTAGATATTGTAGAAGACTAAAGACCACAATCTTTGGTATTGGCTGAACCTCAGCTTTCAAGTTAATCTTGTACAGTTAGTGTATTTTACTTTCATCATTTTGAAGGGATTAAAGTAAGTAGAATTAGCACTGGACTGCAAACCACAAGGTTGGCAGTTCAAACCCCACCAGCTGCTCCTCAAAAACCTTATACAGGGTTGCTATGAGTTGGAACCGATTTGATGTCCCCTTGATCACAACAATGGACAACAATGACAAAAGAAGTGTTACCAGAGGAGGATGAGGACTGTCTCCTTTAGATTCTGATACAATACTCTAGGCTCACCATTTGCATGTTTAATAAGTGCAAGTTTGGGAAGACCTGCCCTAAATCCTAGCTCAGTGGTTGTCAAACCTTGGTTGCTCATTAAAATCCATCTTGGGAACTTTGAAGGAAAAATACTGGTGCCTGGGCCCTACTTCAAAGGTGCTGATTTAATTGGTCTGGAGTGGGGCCTACCAAAGTTGTTAAATAACTTCCTGTTCGATTATAAGTGCAGCCAGGGTTGAGAACAGGCTGTGTAAAGAAAGACTAATGGGCTGGTGAAAGTGGGCTAACCAGACTCCCCACTGTCTCAAGGTCAAGTCTGGGAAGCTTCCTTCTCACATGCAGATGAGTGTGTGAACCTACAGGTCTGTCTGTTGTCTGTCTGTGCTCACACTCCCAGAAACCGAAGGAGCTGCCCTGAAGTGGAGATAAGAGATGCAGGTCCACGGAGAATCATTCCAGAGAGAAAAACTTAAAATGCCGTTATTGTTGTTAAGTGCCATTGTTGGTTCCAACCCATAGTGAGCCTGTATAGGGTTTCTGAGGAGCAGCTGGTGAGCTTGAAACACCGACCTTGCGGTTCAAACCAACTTTGCAGTCCAGCACGTTAACCCATAGCACCATAAGCAAAAAGGATGAGGGAATGTTTTTAGATGGCATTCCCATTTCAACACAGAAACTAGGGATGAACAGACAACACTAAGATGACACAAAGGAAACACATCAATTCAAACTCCAATTCTATGGGACTACCTAGGAGCTCTGGTAGTGTAACGGCTACAAATCAGGCTGCTAACCTCAGGGTCGGCAGTTTGAAACTACCAGCTGTTCCCGCAGAAGAAAGATGAGGCTTTCTGCTCCCGTAAAGATTTACAGCCTCGGAAACCCTGTACAGAATCTCTATGAGTCAGAACCAACTCCATGGCACATCACCACCACCTTCACTAACTGCACTTGAGAGCTATGTCTCCAACAGTCCCCCTGCTTTTCCAGCACAGAAACTGTAAATGAATGGTTAATTATTAAGTCATGTCTAAATTCATCTGCTAGAGAGTAAGCACCACGAGGGCAGGGTCTTTCTGGTGTGTCTACCATCTTGTTCACTACCAGTTGGCACATATTTGTTGAATGAATGAATAGAAGATCATGATTTCTGATTGTTTCCATCTGAAACCATGAGCAAAGATGATAGTGAAATTAGTTGATTTCAGCTAATGGGAGGAGTGAATGAGTGGAAGAGTGAATGAAAAAGTTGAACTGATGACTGAGCAGGAGTCGGGGTGCTAGATGTATCATAAATGTTTTCTAAGTTCAGTTCTGATTATATTTCATGACAGGGATTACATAAATGGAAACTTCTGAGGGATTTGGTAATGGTACCCTTTTGAACACTTCACTTTTAAGTGTGTGTTGCATACTTTATTGGCAAATCTTCAACAAACACTATATGTGTATATACATACATATGCACACTTATGTGAATATATTGATGAAAGATCTAGAAAGAGTTCACACATCACCACTAATATGTTATGATCTTTGGTACACAATAACTTTGATTGTCAAATGAAACCTTGATGAAATTTCATAGGGGTAGAATCCTTCACCATCTTGAAACATTCATAGATTCAATATTCAACAGGCAGCTCTAAACATATAGTCCAAGACCTCTGGTTAGATTTCACCTCTAGGTGCCATGGGAATGTTCAAAGTCACAAACAAATGCAAATTCCACAATTCAGAGCTTCATATCCCTAACTGAGGGTCACATTTTTATTCAGGCTGCGACACTTAGCACCAGTTTCCAAACCTCTGCCAGGAAAGCCAAGTGGCAGATCTCTGGCTTGAGGTCAGGAAGGAGACAGTTCTATGGCTCAACAAGCCATATACATATTTTTTTTACAATAAAATCATCATTCCCAGGTTATCTCTTCTCAGATTTTTGTGGGCTATGTTTAAATATGACAACAGTCTTTACTGGAAGACCCAAAATGTTTTATCTTGAAAAATCAGCCATTCGTTCCGCTGTAAAAAAAAAAAAAAAAAAAAAAACCACAGCAGGGAATGTCTAATTTTACTTTGATATTTACATTGTGGTCCATATCCATTCTTGAATAAAGGCTTTTGTAATTTCCCTTCAAGAAAGCTCCTAAATTTAGGTCCAGATGTCATGAAGAAGTTGTTTCGTTTTTATATTCTTATTTGCTTGCTGTCTGGCTACCACAAAAATCATCAAACATTAACATTCTCTTCTCGAGTGGGTCTCCTATATCGCAGGTCTGGGTATGACAGAGAAAAGAGAAATTAGTGTAGTCATAAACTGCCCCACTCTACAAGGGAAGCCCAAGCTAGCCTTCAAGATTACACATTCCTTGTGCTTTCCTTGCCCCCTTAGTTTTAGTTTAGTCAACTCTCCTCCTTGAATCCCTAGTACTAGATGTCTTCAGCCAATGCCATGCCAAAAAGATGAGGGGTTGGTTTCCACCCAAGCATTCATCCCCCTTCTGGCATTAGCCTTTCCCCCTATTCTTAGTCTGTATAGTCTAGTATGGTCACAGCACCTCTGTCCCCAGTTCAGACATGTGACTCAGATCCAGCCAATGAAATCATCACATTTTCATGGCCACAGCTATTGGGTCATGGGAGGGCACATTACCCAATCAGATGAAACGATATGAGCCTTCTGGGTCTCCCTCTCTTGCCTAGTAGACATTGTAAGAAGCTGATAAAAGTTATCTTGAAATGATTACAAAGACCCTGTTTGAGAAAGGATCTACATGAAGAGCTGAACAGAAATTTAGAAACCAGGTTCTAGGGACATATGTGAATCCTTCCTCCTTCTAAACCAAGAATTATCCTTGGAGTTTTGTTTAAACCAGTTTGGGTTGGGTCTTGTCATTTAAAAAGTAACTGTTGTTGTTGTTAAGTGCTGTCGAGTCGGTTCTGACCCATAGCGACCCTAAACAGGGTTTCCGAGGCTGTAAATCTTTACGGGAGCAGAAAGCCTCATCTTTCTCCCATGGAGCAGCTGGTAGTTTCAAACTGCTGACCTTGCAGTTCGCAGCCCGATTCGTAACCACTACGCTACCAGAGCTCCTTAAAAAGTAACTGATACACAGACAATTCTGATGGCACTTAACAACAACAACAATTATCTTGGGCTAAGAATCCTGGTGTGGCACCATAGGATAAGCACTGGACCACAAGGTCGGTTTGAACCAGGTTGACAGTTTAAACTCACCAGCCATAGCTCCTTGGAAACTCTATATAGGGTCGCTATGAGTTGGAACTGACTCAACAGAACTTAACAACGACAAATCTTGGCCCAAGGACGCCTGGTGCAGCACTGTCAAATCAGCACTGGACTGCAACCACAAAGTTAGTTCAAACCCACCATCTATTCCTCGGAAACCCTATACAGGGTCACTATGAGTCAGGACCGACTCGACAGTACTTAAACAACAACATCTTGGAATAAAGGAGCCCTGGTGGCACTGTAGGATCAGCACTGGACTGCTAACTGCAAGGTCAGCAGTTCAAACCCACCAGCCACTCCTCAGGAGAAAGAAGAGGCTTTCTGTTTCTGTAAAGATTTGCAGCCTTGGAAACCCTATATCTGTCATTAGGAGTAGGAATTGATACAATAGCAGTAGGCTTTATCCTGGGATATACCCACTGGATAAATCATTGTCTTACTCAATGCCAGTTCAGTTACTCACCATGCGTAGCATCATGTTCCCCCAAATGCAAAGAACCTTGTTGCTGAAAAAAGAAAACAGGTAAACACATCACTGGAAGGGACTGTAGGTCCCAGATCTTGTTGTATAGTTGGCACAATCTGTGAGTCCCCACCATTTTCACCAAATGAAGATTAAAACCAAGGTTCAGCCATAGAAATACCTAACTCTTTTAAGGTACAGTGATACTGTTCTTCCATTCATTCATTTCACAGATACTTGCTGAGCATTTACAATATACAAGATAACATATCAGAACCTGACATTGCAAGGATATAGACATAGTCCAGGATCTCATGGAACTTAGAGTTGGTCTGCTAGATCCCTTACTTAAACCATGCTGACAGTATCAATTCATGTGGAGACTTAATTATACACAGTGCCTTCCATCAGAATTACAACTTCTAAAAGCAGGAGTGGCATTTGAATTAAGATGGGTCTACTAGTTGGAAGCAATGCAGCCAGAGTGCTCCTTGGAGGCCAAGATGGCCAAACTTTGTCTCTCATACGTCAGACATATTGTCAGGAGGGACCAGTCACTGGAAAAGGATATTATGTTTGGTAAGGTGGAGGGTCAGAGAAAAAGAGGAAGACCCCCCAACGAGATGGAATGGTCAAGTGGCAGCATCGATGAACTCAAGCGTGGCAACAGTAGTGAGGTTGGCCCAGGATTGGGCAGTATTTCGTTCTGCTGTGCATAAGGTGGCTATGAATTGGTACCGACTCGATGGCACCTAACAACAACAACAACTAGTTCTTAGGGAGTCACGGTGGTGCTGGAGGACAAGCACTGGACTGCTAACCACAAGGTTGGCATTTCAATCCCACTGACCCCGGGAGAAAAATAAGGCTGTCTTCTCCTGTAAAGATTTACAGCCTTGGAAACCCCATAGAGCCTGGCTAGGAGTCAGAATTAACTCGATGGCAGTGGGTTGACTAGTTAACAGATTTTCCAAGAAAGCCAACAAGGGCTTTAGAATCAGGAAGAGTGGGCATCTCTTCTATATTCTCGGTAGGAATAGAAATCAAAACCATCTTTTTAAGAGAGGGATCAAACAGTATCTGTAAAATCACCACGTATGTGCCCTGTGGCAGAAATACTCAAAATAAGTGTAACAAAAATGTTTTGTTATACCATTTCGAAAAAACAAAAACAAAACAACAGAAACAAGCCAAATGTTCAAGATGTAGTATTAAGTGGGGAAGCAAAGTGATGATTTTATTTGCATCTATTATCCCCACTTATATTAAGTGAGAAACGTCTTAGGTGTTCACCATCATAACCCCAGTGCCTAGAACAGGAGTGGGGACTATCCGGCCCATGGCTGTATAAGGCCAGCGAAATCATTTGGTCTGGCCCTGCCAAGGCAACCACAGTTCCAGCCATTACATTACAACAGGCTAATTTTTAAGTTTATAATTTTATATGGCCTGTGAATGATGTCATAAATATCCAAGTGGCTCTTGGCAGAAAAAATGGTTCCCCATGCCTGACCTAGAACAAAGCAGGCATAGGAAGTGTTGAATTAATGTTATTTTTTTAATTAAAAAATACAGAAATGTTTAAAAATAAAATAGAAAACCAAGTCCCCTCAAGTGACCATCCCAAGAGCTAGGCATCTTGTTCCCTGTTGTACTGTTAGGGAGCAAATCTGTGACAAACAGCCCCTGCCCTGGCCCTAGGCAGTCTCCTACTCACCTCCACCTCCCTCCTTTCCAGCGTCAGCAAGCTGGGGTTCGCTCTCTTCTCCACGTCCTGCAACTTGAGCAGCTTTTCAATCAGGAACATCTTATCTTTGCCCTCCTGCCATGAAGAAAAATCAAATCAGAACACAGAGGACAATGATCCTGTGAGATTGCAAGGCAATTGATGGGAAGGTGATTTTTAGGCAGCTGGAGTCCTAGAAAATGGACAGACATTGCTTTCGTGTATTCTTTTCCTGAGAGAAAAGAAATATTCCACAGAAATTCTCTCCTTTGTCTTCCTCCATGGTAATATTCTTCTCTGAAGCAATCCCCCCGGTATGCTTCACCAACAGCTGCTGCTGGAAATGGGAAGTCCTTGGGCAAATGGTCTTCTGTCTGCCCATTCTTGGCCTACGTTCTGACCCATGAGCCTGGCTGGGCACCTACTTTGTCTACCTCTGCCCTGTCCTTCTACCCAAAATGCTGAAATGTGTTGTTGTTAATTGTCGTCAAGTCAATTCTGACTCATAATGACCCTGTATAGAGTTTCCAAGAAGCAGCTGGTGAGTTTGAACTGCCAATCTTGTGGTTTAAAGCAACCTTGCAGTCCTCCAGTGATTATCCTACAGCACCACACCAGGACTTCTAAAACGTTGTTAAATGCAGTCGAGTTCAGTTGCGACTCACTGCAACCGTGTATAGGGTTTCCGAGGAGCAGCTGGTGGGTTTGAATCATTGACCTTTTGGTTTGCAGCCCAATGCTAATCCTACAGCGCCACACTAAAATGTACAGGATGTCAAATCTGTTTCATTTACAAGTTGTCTGTGTTAACAGAACAGAACCACACTCACAAACAACTGAGTAGAGAAGCAGGCCCTCTCCAAGAACCTCTGGGGATCCCTGTGGACTCCGGATGCTCTGGTGTAACACACACTGTTGATCATGCGTCCAGTCTACATCAATGGCTGTAGTCCCATTTCCCACACCAGGTTCCCTGTAAAATCTGACCCACTCATTTTAGCATTCATCAGTGGCCCTTGTATATAACAGCTACTACTTTGAGGTTTGCTGCATGGTGGGGTTCTGTTGTCTTGTAGGGAAGTGCTATTTCTGGGAATTGGCATTTCTAACAAGTCTTTCTGCTGGTTTGCAGGTAGCCCAGTTGTTTGGAAATCTCTCGCTAGAGCTGCTGTTTTCACACTCCAGGTGGAACTGCACAGCGGTAAAGAGCAGAGACTTTGGAGTCACTCTACCAGGCTCAAACCCCACCACTGACTAGTCCTGTAAGCCTCAGTTCATTCATTTTACAATGGGATTGCACAAAACGTAGATGCCCTAACGGAAGTGTTGTTGTGGTGGTTGTTAAGTGCCTTTGAGTAGGTTCTGACTCATAACAACCCTGTATAGGGTTTCTGAGGAGCGGCTGGTGAGTCTCTAAACTGCTGGCCTTGCAGTTCAAACTGACCTTTGGTCCAGTGCTTTATCCTACGGTGCCACACCTGGACTGAATATTAAGAGGGATTATTGTTGAATTATTATTAGCACAATGCCAGGCATCATAGAAGTGCTCAATAAACACAATCTGTTTCTAGTATTGTTCCCAGGATGGAGTCCAGCAATTTACAGTTTTATTAAGCACCCAGGTGCTTTGAATGTACATCATCTTACTTTACGAGGGTCTGGTTTTCTCAGAACCTGTTCTAAGTCTCTTTGTCTGGGTTCTTTCAGAGACAACGTCCCTGCCTGCGTGGTCTATCTTCTGTGCAAAACTCTCAAGCTGATAGACCATAATCTGGAGTTCAGGGGCCTCTGTCCACTAATGCTATCCAACTGTCTGCCCAGTTTACCAGGCCACTCATAATATTGGTTAAGCTTCTGGGGACAGGGAAGGGGGAAAGCTTAAGTAACCTCACAGCTTTTCCTTTACACCATGAAAGAACCAACCTAAATGACTGAAAATCCCAAAGATTCAAACAGATACAGAACACTGGGAAACCCTGCTTCTTTCTCCTGCTCTTAGACATAAGCTCTTATGTCATGGTTGACGTAGTAACCATGGTATCCCTTGTGTACAGACTGTGGTCTCTAAATATCATTTCTCCAGGACATCTTAACGAAATGGTTGGTTCTTGTTCTGGGACAGGAAATAAGCAAGATTAACCTGGAACATCTTGTCTTTCCAGAGACTTTGGAGGTCATGTGAAAAGAACCCAGGAGTTCATTCAAAAGGATTTCCATTATCAAAGGATGAGATTATGTGAGCCCAACAGTGAATGTAACTGAAAGGCATCAATCTATTGAAACCTATGAATTCATACAATAACTTAAGCATCCTTGCCATCTACAATCTGAGGGTCCTGGCTTATCGTTTTGAAAACTGATAACTATGTGGAGAATATCATGCTTTTACCTTGCCTTTCTCTTATGAGCTATACCTCAAGCCAATCAATAAGCTGATGAGCAAAAAAATTTTATTCTTTTTTTACAAAAGAATCCTAGCGAATCAATGAAAAATGCATCATAGAATTAGACAATCACTCTTTTGGACCCACTGTGGGTTACTGCGCTGAACTGCAAAGTCACTTGAACCACAAGATCAGTGGTTCAAGCTCAACAGCCACTCCTTGGAAACCCTATACAGGGTCACTATGGGTTGGAACCAACTTGATGGCATTATCAACAAAAATGCACTGTAGGATAAACACTGCACTGCTAATTGCAAGGTCGGTGGTTCAAACCCACCAATCAGTCTTTGGGAATGTTATAAAGGGTTGCTATGAGTCAGAAATGAATCAACTGCACTTAACAACAACAACAACAATGCAATAAATGGGTCTTCTAAGAAAAACTCAAGAGTCCTGGTGTGGCACTGTAGGATAAGCACTGGACCACAAATGTCAATTTGCACTGCAAGTTTGGCGGTTCAAACTCACCAGCTGCTCCTCTGAAATCCTATACAGGGTCGTTATGAGTAGAAATCGACTCAACAGTACTTAACAACAATAAGTAAAACTCATTAAAAGCTGCTAAATCTATTAGATGAAGGGCTGATGGAAGATTTATGATGGATGAATTAAACCAACAGAGCTTGGACCTACTGATCACTGTTCATATCACACACACACACAGAGAAATAATCAGAAGAGTATATGTCTTTGGAGGTGATGCCACCAAAAAGTATAGCTCACCTCTGAGATAGTCTGTCTAGAAAGTTGAATTTGGATCTAATCAATTCTCTAGATCTAACAATCTGTTTATAGGGAATACAAAAGAAAACATTATAAACTAAACAACATCACAGGGTTTCAGATCAGAGATGAGGGAAGATTCCAACAACTGTAAAAAGAGTCCTGTTATGGCACTGTAGGGTAAGCACTGGACTGCAAGGTAAGTGGTTCAAGCTCACCAACCTCTCCCTGGAAGCCCTATACAGTGTGGCTATGAGACAGAACTGACTTGACGGCACTTAAAACAACAACTGTAAAAAGACACTTAGGGAACAAGTAGGGAGATTTGGACATGATATTAAATACTACTGAGGAATTACTAATATGTTTTCTTTTCAGTGTGATGATGGTTTTGGGTTATGTTTTCTTAATATTTTTTCCATAGAGATTCATATCGAAGTTTCATAAGCTGAATTCTATACCCTAGGTTTTTCTTTGAAATAATCCAGAGATTTGCATGGGGAGGAGTAGTGTAGATGAAATAAAACCAGTGTTGTCTTATTGGTTCCAATCTGGTGATCTCGTGTGTGTCAGAGTAGACCTGTACTCCATGGGCTTTGAATGGCTGATTTTTCAGAAGCAGATAGATCACATAACAGTATGTACATGTGAACTTGTAGACAGTACCCATTTGACCTAGCATCAATGGCTTGATAGTAAAAACTCGACTAGAGGAAAATAAAAAACAATTTTTAATAAAAGAAACAAATGTAAATTGCTACAATTTGATGAACTTTATGGATATAGTAGCTCAAAATACCAACAGAGAGGGAATGAGTCTTCATAGCAAGTACCAATCCTATCCCCTCTGCATACAGGATACATAGGGATGGGCAAGTTAAACATTGGCTACCTAAAATGAGGGGGGCGATGAAGGCACGAAGTAACTGGCTTACAAGTTTTCAAGAGGAGTTTAGTTTAAGCCTGTGTGAGGGAAGATAGAGTCTCTACTGAATAGTTTTCATCTTGTCTAGATGGGTCTGGTAAAAAGAGATGGGGATAAGACTCTTATGATTCAATAGTTAGTGATTGTTATCATGACTAATTGTGACTGTCACAACTGTAAAGGTAGAAGTTCTGTAACAAAAATGGGGGTGCAATTAATCTTACAGTACAGGGACAGAGGACCCTAGGACCATCAAGGGAGAAGAGCATGAGCGGAATGTGGGACCCTATCCAGAGAAGCAGCAACACTAGAAATGGAGGCAGAGAGCAGCTGAGGACTCTGGACTCAGGGAAAGAGCAAGACTGATTGCTGGTGGCCAGGAGGCAGGCCTGCAGAATGTGCCCTTTGGTTGTTTAAATTATTATATATTCCTGAGTGTTTTTGTGTACACCTTCCCCCAAAAACAAAAACAGAGGGAACAGAAGCAAATACTGTTGGATGATGATGCACAGAGATTATAATTATTGCAACGAAACGATGGTGTAAAACCAATGTTCTCCCATGTAAACTATCACTCAATTCCCAATAAAAAAAACTTATAAAAGAGTGTACACATGTGGCTACGGGGTGGCAGATTTATGGGAGTTCATTGTATTATTCTATTTTGGAGGATGTTTGGAAACTTCCATTATAACATGTAGGAGGCTGGAGGCGAGCAAGGAGACTTACATTAATGATCTGCTCATGGAGTAGTCGGATCATAATCTTCCTTCCCTCTGTAATCTGCCAGTAAAGATAAGTGATGATTCTGGAAAAAATAAGAAAAAAGAATGACACACACTCTTGCCAGTGCTTTGTTATTGTTGCTAAGTGCCGTCGAGTTGGTTCCGACTCATAGCAACCTTGTATAGGGGTTCCGAGGAGCGACTTGGTGGGTTTGAACCACCAACCTTGCCTTTAAACCAACCTTGAAGTTGAGTGCTTATCCTACAGTGCCACTCCCAGGGTTTTTCAGGCTCTCTAATACAATAAATTTAATGCACCAGACTGCAAAGCAGTTTGAACTGCAAGGTCAGCAGTTTAAGCTCACCAGCAGCTCCTCAGAAACCTTTTATAGGCTCACTATGGGTCGGATCCAACTCGACGGCACTTCATAACAACACAACAACAGCAATACAATAAATGGCTCTTGCAGGAAATACTTGTCAAAGACAAGTGAAATCCATTTGGTAATAGGTTAATGGTGGTTTTATAATGGATGGATGAAGTCAACAAACTTGGACCTACTGCTTACGCTTTACGTTCCCACCTCCACACACTCTCCCTCTCTCTCTCTCTCTCTCTCTCTCACACACACACACACACACACACACACACGAGATAATCAGATGGTATACTAATCGGGCAGCTAATCTCATGGTCAGCAGTTCGAAACTACCAGCTGTTCCACAGGAGAAAGATGAGGCTTTCTGCTCCTATACAGATTTACAGTCTCGGAAATCCTGTAGTCAGAACCAGCTCCACAGCACACAACAACAACAACAGTGTGGTGTAATGGTTACCACTCGGGCTGCTAACCTCAAGGTCAGCAGTTCAAAACAACCAGCCGTTCCTAGGGAGAAAGATGAGGCTTTCTGCTTCTGTAAAGATTTACAGCCTAGGAAACCCTGTACAGCATCACTATGAGTCGGAACTGATTCCACGGCACATAACAACATATATCTCTGGAGGTATGGCCATCAAACACAGCTCATCTCTGAGGTATTCTGACTGAAAAACTGAACCTGGAGAGAAGGAGCGGCTGGGGACTCTGGACTTTAGGGAGGGAGGGGGGCTGTGTGCTGGCGGCCGGGGGGCTGGCATGCGGGGTGTACCCTTTGGCTGTTTGAATGGTTATATATCCAGGAGTGCTTTGGTGTACATCAAAAACAGAGGGATTGGAAGCAAATGCTGTTGAATGATGACACATGGAATGGATTATAACCATGGCAATGAAATGAAATACGATAGGATGAATGTAAAGCTGATACTCTCCCATGTAAACTATCACTCAATTCACAATAAAAACTTATATAAAAAAAACCCTGAACCAGGATCTAATCAGTTCTCTAGAACTAACCATCACCTGGATGAGAACCACAAACCTAATGCCATCAAGTCAATTCCAACCCTCACCAACCCCACTGGTGTTGCTAAGTGCCGTCGAGTTGGTTCCGACTCACAGCAACCCTGCATAGGGTTTCCAAGGAGTGGCTGGTGAGTTTGAACTGCCAACCTTGCAGTTAACCGACCTTGTGGTCCAGTGCTTATCCTACAGTGCCATACCAGGCCTCTTAGCAACCCTATAGAGACCTTATAAGACACAGTAGAAGTGCTCCTTAGGATTTCTGATACTAGGTTTTATGGGAACAGACAGCCTCGTATGTCTCCCAAGGAGAGGCTAGTGGGTTTGAACCACCAACCCTGAGGTTAGCAACCCACAATTTAACCCACTGTGTCACTGAGGCACCTAATTGGATGAAAGGAACTGTGATATTAACTTGCAAATGTGTGATATTGACTTGGTCAAACTGTGTTCCTGGAAAGTTAGTTGTGGTGGTTATGTGCCATGGAGTCGATTCCAACTCATAGCGAACAACTCAAAAAAGGAGGGTGAGAAGGTTGTAGAACTGAAAGAATGTCATCAACGTCACTGAAGTGGTGCATGTTTTACTGTATGTATTCCCATGGCCCTTCTGGCTGCACCAGACTTCAGAGGCCTCTAGTCCCACCACACCATCACATGTAAGACTTTTTCCTAGAACAGTTATTCACAAAGACAAGCCTTTGGAGCACCACCCCGCTGTCATGAGATCTGCCTTCTTGTCTTATCATTGGCACCTGACTTACTATTTCTATAATGTAACTTGATTTGGCTTACTCTTTGACTCTTGACTTTGAAAGTATTCAATATGTGCACCTCTTTGTCTAAACACTCTTCCCTTTGATGATCTCACCCTGGCTTGTAGCTTTAAATGCAGTCTATATGCTGACAACAGTCTCCACTTGGTCTCTGCTTGGACATCTGATAGACATCCAACTGAGCATGTCCACGAACAGTTCTGGCCCTATCTGTTGTCTTTTTCCAGTTCAAAGAATGGTGATTCCATCCTCCCTGATGCTCTGGTTAAAAAAAAAAAATCTGGCCACCCTCTTTGACTCCATCTCTCAATCCTCACAATCAATTCTTCAGGAATGAAGTTGACTTATTTTAAAATAGATTCAGAATCTGGTCACTTCTCACTATCTGCACTATTACCGCCCTTAGTACCACCCTGGTACCAGCCACATCTGGCTTACTGCAAAAGTTTCCTCTACTGGGTTGAATAGCTGTTGGCATTGTTGTCGTTAGATGCCGTTGAGTCTTTCCAATTCACAGCAATAGTGTTCCTCCAAATTCATGTCTACTCAGAACCTCGAAATATGACCTTATTTGGGAAGAGTCTTTGCACATATAAATAGTTAGAGGCTAAGATGAGTTCAGACTAGATGAGGGTGGGCCCTAAATCCAATATGGCGGGTGTCTTTATAAGAAGAGGATAGGACACTCGGAGACACAGACACAAACAACAAAAGGCAATGTGACGGTGGAAGCAGAAATCAGACTGCAAACCCAGGAATGCTAAGTACTGCAGCAACCAGTAGAAACTATCAAGTGGCCAGGAAGGATTCTTTCCCTGGAACATTTTGGCATCTCCCTGTGTGATACATGTTGTTATCAGTTGTTCTCAAGTTAGACCCCAACTCATGGTGACACTATGCAGTTTCATTGCCTGAATTTCACAAGTAAATTACCTGGCCTTTCTTTCTAGGCTGTCTGAGTTTGAAGCTTCACCTAAACCTGTTCAGTATCCTAGCAACATGCAAGCCTCCACTTGACAGACAACTGATAGCTGTGCAGGAGGTGCACTGGCCAGAAATTGAATCTGAGCTTCTACATGGAAGGCAAGAATTCTGAACTACTGTGTGTAATATTATATCTGACAAATTCTGTCGTGACCCAGTTTTGAGATTTTGGTTAGAGGCCAGTGTATTCCCTTTCTTGAGCAACTGATTTAATCCATGTTCCAACTACTCCCCTTATTGGATGTCACACTCCTGGGTCACTTAGCACCCTTGATTTCTTATCCCGGGCCAGATGTCAAACAAGAAAGGACAACCTTCTGCCTTGCATAAATAAGCCTTCTACAATTACAGCTTGTTATCCAGGGCACAGCTCTGAACAGCCCTGCCGGGGGCGTGCTATAGTTACCCCTGGGAGCTGTGAGTAAAAGTCCACAGTCCTCATCTTCCTCTGGTCTCACCACATCCCACTGTGATTCAAGCACCGTGTTTGCTCTCTTGCTCTATCCACAGCCATCTCTCAGCACAGTAGCCTCAATGATTCTTTTTAAATCTACATTAGACTGTGCCACGTCTCTGCGACAAAATCCTGTAATGGTTCATTCCAAGTTGAGGCTGGAGTTCTCAGAATGGGTCCTGAGGCCCTACATTTGACCCTCAACTCCTGCCTTATGTCTGTATCCTACCCACCCTCCGTCTCCACATTCACTCACGCTGGCATCCTCATTGGCCTGGAATGTGCCTGGCTGGCTCCTGTTTTGGGGGCTCTTCACTTTATAGTCTCTGCCTGGAATGTTCTCCCAAACATATACCCATCTCCATCACGTGACCACATCACCCAAGCTTCCTTAACCTCTGGCTTGCAGTTAGGTTCAGTCATTGGGAGACACTGGCAGAAGATTAGAGGAAAGAGGTACCTATTTCCCTTGCTTCCTCCCTGTTCTGGAAGTTTCTATGTTCCTCTATGCCAGGGGTGGGAAACGTCTGGCCCATGGGCCATATAAGGCCTGTGAAATCATTTGGTCTGGCCTTGCCAAGGCGGTTCCATCCATCACACTGATGTTGCTGTTAAGTACCATCAAGTCGGTTCCAACCCATAGAGACCCTGTATAGGGTTTCCAAGGAGCAGCTGGTGAGCTTGAGCCACCAACCTTGCAGTTCAAACCAACCCTTGGTCGAGTGCTTATCCTACAGAGCCACACCAGAACCTTGGTGGTGGTTGGTGGTTATATGCTGTGGAGTTGTTTCTGACTCATAGCGACCTTGCATAGGGTTTCTGAGGCTGTAAATCTTTATGGGAACAGAAGACCTCAACTTTTTCCTGTGGAACCACTGGCAGTTTCGAACTGCTAACCTTGAAGTTACCAGCCTAACTGGCAACCAGTATACGACCAGAGCTCCTTATACCAGTCCCTTAGGGAAAGTTAGTTAAATGTTTGACCAAATATAGCAAGCTATTTTTTTAAGTTGATAATTCTGTATGGCCTGCAAACAATGTTATAAATTTTTGCAGAAAAAAGTTTCCCCACCTCTGCTCTCTGCAACAGTTCCTATTAAGGCAGCCCTACCTTCATACCCCAAGGAGCTCTGGTAGCGTAGTGGTTATGAATCGGGCTGCGAACCTTAAGGTCAGCAGTTTGAAACTACGAGCTGTTCCATGGGAGAAAGATGAGGCTTTCTGCTCCGGTAAAGATTTACAGCTTCAAGAAACCCTGTACAGGGCCGCTATGAGTTGGTTCCGACTCCATGGCACATCACCACCAACCACCATAATTAAAAAATTGTGGTGATGGTTGTATACCGTCAAGTGGATTCTGGCCCATAGTGACCCTGTATTGGTTTTCCGAGGCTGCAAATCTTTATGGGAGCAGAAAGCCTCAACTTTCTTCCACAGAGCAACTGCTAGATTCGAACTGTTGACCTTACAGTTAGAAGCCTAGCTCATAATCCATTATGCTACCGGAGCTCCATATATATATTTATATATATATATGAAATTTTTTAAAATAGGTCTTGTTTAATTTGGCATGGGTTTCCATGCATAGGTTGATATATTTTAAATAACTATATCTTACAATGATGTTTTTGATTCTCTCAGTAAGCTGTCATTACATCAGCGATGTTTTGGATGACAGAAATTCAAAGGGAAAAACAAACTCTTCTTATTGGAAATGCCCAAACCATTCTAACAATCTCCAAAATCCACACACAGACTTTTCCTAAGTATTCTCATATCCCCGTTTCATTTTATTCTCTTAAGAGAGACAATGGGTCTTGCTTTATTCATAGGACGGGCAAAGAAACTAGACCATATTCTCATATCCCTGTTTCATTTTATTCTCTTAAGAGAGACAATGGGTCTTGCTTTATTCATAGGATGGGCAAAGAAACTAGACCAAGATCTTAAATACCCTTTAAAAGGATGACCCAACATTTAATAGTCAAGTCGGCTCTCCCACAGTACAGAACCCTGAGTCTGACGTTGTTGTTGTTAAGTGCCATCGAGTCAGTTCTGACCCATAGCGACCCTGTATAGGCTTTCCAAGGAGTGGCTGGTGAGCTTGAACCACTGACCCCGTGATTCAAACTGACTTTGGAGTCCAGCGCATTAAGCCACAGTGCCACCCCAGGACTCCTGACATTAGGAATGTCTGAAGTCAGGAAAGCATCTTCCCACAGTTTCTTTTGGTTTCTTCCCACTAGCCCCTCAACACAGCTCACTTACAACACAATGAGGGTGAGGATGAAAAAGAAGTGCACGCTCCCAATGAGGTTGCGGTAGATCCAAACAACCCACAGGTAACTCGGCTTGTTACTTAGTGTCTCGATCCAGCTGTAGATGGAGTGAATGAAGAAAGGCAGACCTCGAAATGCGCCACAGTTGGCTGAAGGCTTCAATCTGGGAAAACAAGGGACAGGAAAACATCTCTGCAGGGAGACGCAGGGATTGCTCATTCTGGAATCAGAATATTCTTTCTGGGCTCCTGACGTGGAAGTGACAATTCTTGCTGGTTCCATCCACACCCAGCAACTTCACTCAGTGTGAGGACTCATGTTGCAAACCCTCCTACCTGCCACAGACCTCCTCCCATACCAGGGTTCCGAGAATCCTTTGTAATGTCTATTATCAATTTGAACCCTAGATTAATATGTAATAAATGCAGTTGTAAGTTACTTCAATGTAATATTTCATATTAGTCACCAAAAGAAAGCATTTTTTTAAAAATCTCCTCCTTTTCCTTTAACTGCTCCTGCAGTCTGAGAAAAGCTATTGATATAGGTTCACAAAGACTAGCCACAATATTGTAGATAAAACCTCAGAAAAGTTGACAAACTCAGTGACTATAAAAATAAAGGCAGCAAAGAAAACAACAGGCTGGTGAAGGGTATACAGGTGAAACCATGCGATTCGACACATCGTTGTAACTGGGTATTAACTCTCAAAGGCGCTCATTAGAAGGTTCACAAAGTAAATTAGCATGGAGTTTTAGCCTTGTAGGTATGCTGACACATGAGAGCTGGGCTGCCAAGAACATTTGTGCCGAAAACATTCCTATGATTTTAGAAAAAGTAAGTTCTGCTGAAACATTACACAAAACTCTTAAAGCATCATTTTGGGGTCACCCTTTCTGACAGTGTCACCGGTTTGCTGTGCACCCCCACACCCTTCTAGGGATGCCACTGCTCACACCCTCTTTTTTCAGCTCTTAGCCTCAGCTGAGAAGTTCTAGAGTTGGGACCTGCACTTCAAGAACCAGCGGGCTGAATCCAAACCACCACCTGAAGCAATGGCGGCCAACCCAACAGTCAGGTAATGATCTATATGGTACCCTGGCCCGAATCAATGAACTAGGGCACTCATTTCCTTTCTTGGAAAGTTGAATTAAAGAAATACAAAGACGGAAGCCTGTTAGCTCTAGAAACTGAGGTCAGAACGGTGATGGCCAAATGCAGGGATTTGTTATCAATGAGTGGAAACTAGAGGGGAGCAAGAAATTGGTTAGGGACAGAGAGAAGAGAGGAGACGAAGAAACAAGTAAGAAAATGTTGAGACAGAGGGGCCTGTCCTGAAGAGCTTTCAGTTCCTGATAGTTGCAGTGCCACCAGCATCCTAAAATCAACTCCCTGTGAGTTGGTTCGTGCTTGCTCATTCCACAGTTCTACAAAGGTTCACTGAACCTCTTGCAGGCACTGTGCCCGAGGTGGGGTTCCAGAGTAAACCAGACAGACAAAGTCTCTGCCCTCTTGAGCTTATATTATAGTGGGGAAGGAGCTCAACTGATGAGTAACTAATGAAACAAGCAAAGTATTCAACAGTTCTGATGGTAAATGATGCAATGAAGAAAGGAAGTTAAGCCCCAGTAGAGAGAAGGTTGGAGTCTGACAGCAGGCAGGATGATCAGGAAGGACAGGTCTTCAATGAGTTTCAAGTGGAAAAGCAAAGGGTGGGAAGAGGAGGTCATCCCAACAGAGGAGCCCATGTGGAGAGGTGCTTGCTGGGACCCAGAAAGATGGAGGAGCAAAGGGAAGGGACACTGGAGAAGGTAGCAGGGAGCCAGGTCATAAAGGGCCCTGCTGTTAACTTGGGTTAACTTCTGTTCTTGGTGTCAAAGGACTGGCCTCTTCCTGTTCCCAGAAGCTTAGTATATGGCAGAAGCAAGGAGGCTGCTGATTCCCATTTGTGGCACCTTGATGTGGGATGCCCAAGTGAGGATACAGTATCCTCGTGCTTTTAATATCTGTTGGCTACTCACCTCCTCTGTCTCTAAAACATCACCCCAAGCCCCATCTCCTACCTCCAGATGGTGATGGCCAGGGTGCACAGGACCCCGGTGAAGGATGGGAAAAAGAGCAAGAAGATGAAGAACGTCATCATCTGTGAAGCGCGCCAGGCTTTGCTGGGAGGCTGGAAATTCATCATCAGGCTGATCTGAAGAAAGAGAGAGCAGAGTCTATCCCAACTGCTGCCCCCACCCCGATTGGCCCTCGGGCTCACACGTGACTTTGTGAAGCTGGCTGCTTATAACTCAGGACGGACTCACATTTTTGACATAAAACATGATGAACAGAGCAATCATTTGGATAAAGGGCAGCAGAGGGCAGAAGAAGATTCCAATCCTGTAAGGAATGAAGAGAGGGTGAATGTCAGAGACCAGAAGAAACATGAAGGATGGAGAGACGGGGAAGAGAGAAAGCTTCCATCCTCAGGTGCAAAGCAGGCAGTTTCTAGACACACCAGCAACCACATGCTCTATTCCCAAAAATAGTTTTTCATAGAATGGCCCCCTCTACACACAGCCCCTGTGTCAGCAGATGACCTTCCATGAGCTCTACTATGACATGCCCCCTCTTTCCCAGACCCCTCTTTGTGTGATATTCTAGAAGAGCTGAGTCCTGCAGGGAAAAGGCATTGATCTGCATTGAAATGCAAGTGAGACAAACACTCCTCTGTCAAACCATCCATGCTCTGGAGGACAAAAGGAAATTCAAATTTGATACGCACTCTTCTTTCTTTTCTCTACTTGCCAAACATTTGACCTCCATTTATCTACTTTTACCAGCCTCCCATTCTGAAAAAGAAAGACTAGTCTGAGGGTCTGGGTGGACAGCAGCATCGGCTAGAATTTACTGGCTTCTAAAAAACGTGATGGCCTTTATTTTTCCATTTACTTCTGATTTATGCCAAATGAGACTTAATGTTATAATCCATTTATGATTATAAAAGAAAGACAACTTTAAAGATTTATTAAAATAAAAAAAAAAGTAGCAGACCCCAAACCAAACTTCACTCATAGGATGTATGGAGCCAGTTCCAACTCATGGCCACCCACATACAAGGGGGCTTCAAAAAGTTCGTGGACAATTCCATGCTGTTTTTCATTCCAGTTTTTCATGAACTTTCTGAAGCCCCCTCGTGTGCAGAGTAGGGCTGCTCCGGAGGGTTTTCAAGGCTATGACTTTTTGGAAGCAGATAGCCTGGACTTTCTTCTGAGATACCTCTGGGTGGTTCAAGTCTCTTCAGAGGCATCTCAGAACAAAGACCTGGAGATCTACTGACAAAAAATCAGCCACTGGAAACCCAATGGCAAAGACAGAGCTTGCTCTGATGCACATGGAACTGCCATGAGCAAACCAGGAAGCCCAACAGCTACTGGTTTGATGACCCTCACCCAGCTGAAGGCCCAGACAAATACTACTAGGAAGGAAGATGGTCCAGATCTTTCCTTTATCTGAGAGAAGCCAGAAATTTTCAATTTTATGTAAGTTCCTGATCTTATATTATCTATCGGTAGTTAATCTAGATCAATTTTTAGAAACAGTGCTTTTTGGAACCAGAAAAACACATCTGCAAGCTGGTCTCTGCTCTCTGGTGATTCTCATATGATATCCTCAAGATCTCATGAAGGAAAAGAATAGTTTGGATCTGGATTCATGGACCTCAGAGTGGCTACCTAGATAGGAAAACAAGAGTCATCCCCGAGACTCCAGGTCCACAGACGTACCACGCCAGGGTTTGTGCGTAAATCAGCTCCAGGACATTTCTGGCGATGTCAAACTCCTGTACGCCCAGGCTGGTGATAAGTTTCATTCCAATGATTCTGCAAAAATGTACTGAGTTTAATCCCCAAACCATCCGTCCACTTCATCCTTCACAAGATCCCCCCACAGACTGTGTTCATCCATAAAGGAGATCCTCACAAATTGGGAATTAAGTTGGAAAGTCTCAAACCAATTTTTTTTTTCTTTTTAAGTTCCAAGTATAAGAATCCTTTAAAAAAAAAACCAAACTGAATTCCTCCGGTGTCAGTGGAATTAACCACCACCACAGAGAAGGAGGTTCTTCATATTATTAAAAATAAATGAAGAACTATGTTATTAAATTATTGTTAAGTGCTGTTGAGTCGGTTCCAACTCATAGTAATAACCCATATAGGGTTTCCAAGGCTTTAAATCTCTGAGGGAGCAGAAAGGCTCCTCCTTCTACCGTGCAGTAGCTATGGGCTTGAACCTTGGACCTTGTGGTTTACAGTCTAGTGCTTATCACTTGAAGCCCCAAGTTACTGTGCTCCCCAAGTTACTAAATGAAGGGCCACATGTGTCTCTGGGACAACTTAACATCGGTGGTTAGTTTATTTATCATGACTTTTAACTGGTGAGGTCTAAAATTAGTACAAAATGAAAGCTATGAGCTAAATCTATATGCATTGATATGGAAAGAGATACAGTTAAATAGATGCACATTCCACAAAGGAATGTGACCACATTTTTGCTTTTAAAAACTGTATCATATGCACACATACAGCAGTATATCTACGTGCATATAGAAGAAAATCTGGAAGGACAGACACTAAACAGTGAAAATGGCCCTCAGTTTCCATGGCTTCTTCCTAAGACATTGTTTCATAAGAAAAGGCTACAAAAGGTTTACTGAACCAAATGAACAGTGCCAACAGAACTGAAGGTCAAGGTGAAACCTTAGTTCACCGAGATGTAAGCAGTATCCCAGGGAGCAGTAGGTAGACTTGGAGCAATGCACACATTGAGTGTGTGAGGAATCTGCACTTCTGGCTCAGTCCGAATTGGGTTCTAATTACACTGGCAGGTACTATTACTCAACATCAACAAACAGGATAAATATTTGGTATTGTTGTTAACTGTTAGCAAGTTAACTCCCAGCTCATGGAATAAAACAGTCCCTGGTCCTATGCCATCCCCTGTTGGGTGGTGGTTTTCAGACCAGTGTTAGCCATAGGGTTTTCTGTGCGGCATCATAACAGCATGCAAAGCCTCCCACAACAGATAGGGAGGTACCTTGTCCCACAAGCAAGGGGAGAATGCTACCATTAAACCCCTACTGACCCCCAACAGTGATTTACCTCCTCAGAAATTCCCCAAGGAAGGAATCAGCTAAGGAGAACACGAAATCCATCAGAAGGAGCCGGTAGATTTCCTGGCCAATGAGGGTTTCCCAGCACTAGAAGGCAAGCAAGAGTTAGGATACAGGATGGGGTGTAACCTCAGCCCTTTCTCATTAGCACCAGCTGGTGGGCAGCTCAGTTTGATCAAGTCCTTGTGTGCCCAGACCTACTCTACGCCTGGTAAAAATGGACGATTAGTTGAGTTCATTTTCAAGGGTGTCTACTCCTTTCTGTGCCCCTCTCCCCTATTTAGGCATGGCCTTCACAGGTACCAAAACTTTCCCATCACCCTCTCTCCTCTTAAAACTTCTCATGTCTGTCTTGACTGTCTGGGTCCCACTGCTCAACCAGGGGTAATCCATTTCTTCCAGGGTTAATAACACTGCTACTCTTTGCTTATCGATCTTATGGGAGAAAAATATATCCATATCTTCTGGATTAAGTGACCAAGAGGATAAAGAATGAAAAAGTAATTCATATCTGTTGCATTAAGGAAGTTTGCCTAATAGTGCATTTTTACTGAGAGTGGGTCTTCTTTCCTAGGTACGGAAGCAGAGTGTTTGGCTTGCACAGCCTCAAAGTTTGCATTAGTCAGTTTCTGAAAATGGTTGTCAGTAAATTTTGCAGGCAGCCACTGCCATAAACTTGTGGACCAGAAGCTTTTGATTCAACTGATGGAGGAGAGGGAAGTTTTGGGTGCACAGCACAAGAATAATGGGTAGATGAACAGATGGATGGGTGAACAGAGATGAACAGAAGAATAACATGGGATACACTCTCACCAGCCCAACATGGAGGGCTAGCTTTGATTCTATCTAATAGTAAGTTAGGGAGGAAAGGTGAGGTTGTCGTGTCATATGAGATGGTTTGACTCTGGACACAAATAGTGTTATTTTGGGGCCCTGGGGATAAAGGCTATGAGAGGTTGGGGAGAAGCCCCTACTTCCCATACTGCACTTGGAACCATAAGGCAGTCCTGGTAGCCTGAGGATTCAGAAAGGCTACCAGCTCTGGATGACTGGGCATGTGGAGACCCATTTTCATGGGGATCCTTTTAGCAGAGGAAGAGCATCCTATTAAGAAGGCCAGACAGGCTGGCCAATTTCTGAATCCCCAAGGGACATTACTCTCAAGGGCTCCCAGATAAAACTGAGGACGACTCTCTGGGGTTGAGGAAGAGTAAGAAGCTGTCCCCAACAGGGGAGGGCTAGAAATGCTCTGAGTTAGGACCTAATCGTTAGTGCTACCACTCATACGTTTGCAGATTGGTGGGGCCAATGGCATTTGAGTTACAGAGAAAACGGAACATCAAAGATACAAAAGGATGCCTTCCCAAATCCCTAAACTGGTTGGATTTAATAGATTAGAATCTGAATTGCTACTATCTGTTAAGTGCCCAGCACTGTACTGTTACCACATGTGTTTTACAGATGAAAAAGCTGAAGCTTAAAGAGATTTTTGTTATTGTTGTTGTTGTTAAGTGCCTTCGAGTTGATTCCAACCCATAGGGACCCTGTACACGGTTTCCAAGGAGCAGCTGGTGAGCTTGAACCACCGACCTTGTGGTTCAAATCACTTTGCAGTCTGATGCACTAGCCCACAGCGCCACACCATCAAAGAGATTGTTGTTGTTGTTGTTAAGTGTCGTCGAGTTGGTTCTGACCCATAGCAACCCTGTACATGGTTTCTGAGGCTATAAATCTTTACGGGAGCAGATAGCCTCATCTTTCTCCTGCAGAGCCACTGGTAGTTTTGCACTGCTTAAGGTTCACAGCCCGATTCGTAACCACTACGCTATCAGAGCTCCTTATTAAAGAGATTTTTGTTGTTGTTAAGTGCCGTCGAGTCGGTTCCGACCCATAGCAACCCTGTACAGGGTTTCCGAGGGTGTAAATCTTTACAGGAGTAGAAAGCCTC